CGACGACAATGTTTAATGTCGTTGATTACTTTTGCCCGGCATCCAAACAAAACCCAAATAGAACACAAAACCAAAGCTGTTGTAGTTGCTCTACTCTCCCCATATTGTTTTTGTTGTTGTTGTTGTTTAGTTTTTATCTATATCTTTATAATGGGCGCACAATATCGGTAGTAAAACACAGAACCACAGCAATTGAGGTGACACAAGCAGAAACTAAAAACAAAAAACCAGAGACTAGAGACTAGAGAGACCTCCTGCACATACATATATCTATCTATATCTATGAGTGTATATAGTTTCTTTTTATAACCCCATGCGAGTGTGCAGTCGGCAGATACAACTACTCCACTCCAGATACTTCAGTTTACGACCTGTGGCAGCTACCGGCTCAGATACACTTCTATATCTAACGCTCTTCTCTTTTTATTATTTTGTATTTTTTTTTATTTTTTGTGTAAGCAAACATATGGCTGAAAGAGAGCAAGCCGACGACAAATGTCAATATTTGCATTGGCCAAGAGATTTCTTTGGCTGCCTCTTACCTGAACCTGAACCCAAGAAAAAAGATAGAGATAATTGTAATGATGTGTTGCCCCTATAGCTAGACATCCGGTCTTTAGCTGATAATTGTGTAAATAATACAAAATATAAATAAATTGAAGAAAATATTAAAAATAACCTTTAAAAACCAAGCACAATTTCACAGTTTCTGCTGTCAATTGTGACACAATTTGTCATTGTGCACTTTACTTTTTAATTGAGAACATTTAGTAGGCCCAGACATCTCGTCTCGAGCACCGCCTCTCATAAATCATTTTGGTTTGAAATTTGTTCTCCCCACAAGTAACGCCACATAAATAAAAAAGGCGCAGCAGAAAGAGTGAAATATTTCCCTTAACATCGAAAGAGTAAAACTATTTCCAACAGAATAGAACACAAGCAGATCGATGCTCTATTAATTCATTGGAGTAGAAGAAATATGTGAAACTTGGTGGATATTCATTTACATTTTTTGGATTCGTTATCGTTCGTTTGTGGCTCTATTTCTCTCGGCTAGTCCACCCTAATGTATCTAACAGATACACACATATACGATATGCTATAGCATATATAGAGCTGTTAAAAAGGGTCAAACTACTGAACAAATATTGAAAGTCAGCAGCGTCGTGGCCCGAAAAATGTTGCCATAGTGAAAAAGAGAGGAGCTGCTGCCTGGCAGTTAACTAAATAATCACATTTAAAGGGCGCCAAGTGGTTCCATAAACAAATATTTGAAGGGAATTTGGAACGCATCTTGTCTAGCTGCTGGCTGCTAATGGATTGCGGCTCGTATGCAACTGTTAAGTAAATAATCGTTTGGAAAATTCAACCAATTTCTGGTTTTTCTTTCCATTTTCCCCCTCGCCCTCTCGGGCGGCTGTGCCAAATCAATTCACGCTGTGCAATTGCGGCAATCAACATCAACAAATGAATATGCAACGCAGTTTCATATAGAATGTAAAAGGAACTTTTCAACCCCTCCTATTTTCCCGAAACAGTTGCTTCTGCGCGCTTTTGCTCATTTCACAGTTTGCAGCTCTCAAAACTAAAGAAAAATTAAATGAAATAAAAATAAAATAAAAATAACAGAACAAAATCTTTTGTTCTCTGAGAGAAATTCAAAACCCTTGCAGGGGTTCTGCCACAGAGATCGCACAAAAAGAACAATGCTTTGATAATACAACTAGAAAGAAGGTAGGGGCAGGGGAGATTAAAAAGGTACCAAATTCCAAATAAAAAAGGTAAAGGTTTCTGTATTTTTTATCATTAAAAAAGAACAAAACAACGGGAAAGAAACGAAGGAATATATATGTATATATTGCACAAAAGAGATTAAGTTCCTTTTCTTTTCGATACCCGCCGCCAGGAAGATATCTCCTCTCTCTCTCTCCTACGGCGAGGGAAGAAAGATCCCTTTGGCAAAGTGAACATTCCAAGGGATCCGAGGCCCGAGGCTCCTGCTGACAATACAAAACACAAAATACGCATTCGAATCCCGAATCCAAAGCGTAACCATTTCATACCTGATTATGAACCAAACCTCCGCCTTCAACAGAAAATGCAATTTACGAAACACAACACAACAAAAAAAATAATCAGGGAAGAGACTGTGGAAAAAGGTAAATTGCCTTTTGTAGAGGAAAACCCAAGAAATAATACATATACATATTCTCGTATTGATTGGTATTAGGGCCTTACCTGAGCCTTGAAGGCTCACAGTTAAGTTCTGGTCAGTTTTCTGAAATGTTGTGACAGGACAAATGTCAAGGACAGAGACCTCGGCGAAAGGCACTTCATTAATCACAACAGAAATCATTCAACTTTTGCAAACATGCAACAAATCAACTCGTCGCATGTCCAAACTATTAGCCAAAATGTCAAGAAACGAGCTCTCATGTTATTCATTTAAAATTACTTAAAAATGAAACATGCAGGGTGTGTGAGGCTCCTTTGTCTTGTATTTATTTTTTTGGGGATCTTTTGCTCACTTAACAACAAAGAAATGATCAGACAACGAACTTTTACTCGGTATATACTATATAGATATATATATATATCTGCTTATATTCCCCACATTTCTTTTTTTTTTGTTCATCATTTGCATCACATGTTGCTGGTTGATTTTAAAGAGAAATTATAAAGCGTTTCCTTAGCTGCATCATTAGCAGCGCCAACACCAAAAGTCGCCTAACTAAGAGGATCTTCAACAGCGAAGATATATATCGAGGGGAAATAAAGAGAGAAGAAAAATATAGGGAAAATAAGGAAAAATAAGGAAAATATCACCCTGCGACTGGCGTTGGCGTGGCGCGCATTTTACGCAGTTGCTTAGTCCAAATTAAAGTGAATATATATATAGCATAGCGGGAGAGTGCCAACGAAGAGATATATCTATGCAATCTATCTATATAAAATGCATCGGCATCATCATCATCACCAGCAGCATCAGCAGCATCTCAGCGGCAACATCAGCAGCAACAACTGCGCCAACAGAAGGTACACTTAGGGAAATGGGGCTATTAAATCAAACTATCACTAAATATACATTGAAATTGTACTAAATATCTATCAAAAATAATAGATAGAATCATGAGAATCACTTGAATAATTCGTTTATATATATTTCAACCTTTTAATAAAAGTTTCTGATGGGTTTTCGCTTTAAAGATCTTATAATTTCCAAGTTCTGTGTTAGATTCCTCTAAAACTATATTCTAAGCATAGGAAATGACTTTAAATGATTTAATTTAATGTCTCTGTGCTATATCATCTCCAAAACCATATTATTTCTAACCAACTTTAGCTATTAAAATCTCTCTTTCTTTATAAAGAAGATCATTGGTATCTTTTTCTTCCTGTGTACAAGTAAAAAAGTGCCAAAGCCTTATATTTTTAGACCCTCTTCTGGGGCGAAGAAAACGACGCGCTCTCTTGCTCCCTCTGCTCGTTTGTTAAAATTCGATGGGCGAATGACATTTTTGAGTTATTTTTGTCATCCCGACAACGACAACGACGACAAAAAAAAAAACAACCACAACAAATATACAAAACGACACAGCCAAAGAACTCAGCCAAAAACTACACTGAGCTGAACCAAAACTGAACTGAACCGAGAGAGGAAAAAACAAAAACGAAATAAATAAAACTGAAATACAAACTGAAAATGCAAGCGACAACTTAGTTGTTGACGTTCGCTGAATGATCAACAAATGTCAAATGCAAGAGAGATGATGGTATCATTGAAGAAGGATCTTGTCTTGAATCTAGATTCAAAAACCTTTGAAAAGGTTGAAATTCTCTACAAGAATATATAAAGATCACTTGAAATCATTTAATATTTAGATAAATATATATAGAGTTAAGAACTCCCACTGGACCTCCTCTACTTGTAACCATTTGTTCAGAGGCGTTGCATCATTTTTATGTGACATTTCATTGACAATCTTGACAAAAGTCTATCAAAATCTCACCCAACCGAAAATGGAGAGAAGACACAACCGGGAGCATCTTGATAAATGTGTGTGATGTGGTGTGTGTGTGTGTGTGGTGTGTCTTGACTCTTAGTTTGGAGTGAGTGTCTTGTTTTTATGTTGTTCTTGCGGCTTGTTGCTTTTGTTGCCCCGTTTTATTGCCCATAGCAGGAGCCTGTCAAAATTCCAAATGGACCATAAATAAAAACATCATTTTTATAATATTCAACTGGGGGCGTCATCAGTTGTCTCTTCTCGCTGTTGCTGTTGCTGCTGTTGCAGTTGTTGTTATTTGCCAAAATAAACATATATATATATATAAAGAAATCCGAAATGGAGCCATTTTTGGCATCATCATTTGGATCTTCTCAGACTCGTAAAAATAGCAAACTGGGGAGCAGCAGCAGCAGGATGTGTAGAGAGCTACTTGCAACATTATAATTTGTATGTTAAAACATCGTAAATTATTTAAATGTCAGTGTGTGGCAAAGTTTTCCGGCCTCTCTTCGGTTTTATGAACTCCAAAATAAGGAGAGAGAAAAAATAGGGGGGAAGTGTCAAGTGTGGGCAGCGCCATTCTCAAGTCACATGGCATATTTGTGACATATGTTCGTTTTGCCTTTGCCAGGGATGTTGATCTTGGATCTGACATGGAATGGGAATGGGGATGAGAATGAGGATGCTGCCTCGTTGTCAGCAGGGAACAGACTGTAATTAAGTGCCAGGACTCCAGGCAGCGGAATCGATCCTCAACAACGATCCTCCACTCCACTCTTTTTGGGGTAATGTAATTCGATCATTTAGCGGCTTGCTTCGTTAAGTTCGTGTGCCGCGATTTTAGAGTTTTATATTTATACACATATATATATTTATTTAGTGGCCACATGTGGGCCATATGTGTCTGTGCCTTTTTCGAAACCCCAAGGCGAGAGATAGAGAGGGCAAGAAATCGTCTCCGATTTCACTTCAAGTTGATGCCATTATTCTTACCTGTTTACTGAACATTGCAATATCCTCGTTGAACGATTCCGACGAACAGACATCGCCACCTTGCACCCCGGGCTCCCTCGGCGTACATGTGGCCAATTCGCACTTCTCAAAGATAAGCGCCAAAAGCGGGAATAGCGGATGTCTGCAAAAATATAATTAAATTGCTTAGTAAATATAGAGATATAAATAAATAAAATGTATAAAATACATCAAAGAGTTGGTCGAATTTCATGACATTTCTGATAAATGCAGCTGCACAAATGCTTGTAAAAAATAATAAATGATCTTGGTATAAGCTAAAAAATGAGGTGAATTGTTTCATTATTTGTAGCTGCTACATTGAGTTAAAATTTATAACTTTCAAGTAAATTAAATGAAAATGATCCAAATCGTTTGAATGATGTTTAAAGTCAGAATTCTTAGCCAAATGAAGATCACTTTAGTTGCTAAAATTACTTAAATCTAAATCTTTAATAACTATACTATAAATATATATTTTTTAATATTATTACAATTATTATATTGTTATTATTTTCTTCTCAAAATTCCCTATACTTGTTGTACTTTCCTTTTGGTTCTTATTTTTCTGGTTTCCTTTTGAAAAACTCAGGACATTTCCTGCCTCACGAAAAATGCAAATGAGCAGCTGCTATTTCCTTTTAGTATCTTTATCTGTATTTCTGTATCTGTATCTGTATCTGTATCTGCATTTGTAGCTGTATCTGGCACTGCACACACATAGCAATAATCCCCCTTCTTCATGCTGACGGATTAGTTCCAACAATTCAACATGATTTGACCATTTTTTGTTGTTGTTCTGCAGTGTAGTTTTTCCTGACCAATTTCTCAATTTTGTAGCACAAATTGCACCTGAACAAAATTAGGCGGGGACTACGGCTGACCAGAACGAACAGTGGAAAAAAGGGAAAAGACCTGAACCCATTAGATGGCACACAAAAAAATAACTGACCCCTAAGAGACGACGGGGGTGTCGACCTGCGCTTAACAAACTATTAATAAAAGAGTTTCTCCACCTTTTTAGGCTTTTACAGTTGAGTGAGTTTTTGGCCTGGACACATAAGAAATATATATATATATAAATGTATAAAAAACAGGCACTCATTTGCAATGACGTGGCGAAATGTGAACAGGAGCAGCTGAAGAGTTTTTGGCTGCCAAGAAGGTGTTGAGCACAGCTCTTTCTTTCTCTTTAAATTTCGAAAGCAAAAAGAAGAAGGTGCCAAAAAATAATAATAATCATAATCATAATAAAAACAGGTGCTCAACGAACTCATATATAAGCATTCATGTTTGTTCAGACACTCTGAGGCAAGGGACAATCATCAAACAGTCATCAAACAGCTGATTGAAGGCCTCTTTCTCATAAGTCATTCATGAAATTCCCTCTCTTTTTTTCTTCAAAAAGCAAATATTTGCAAAGAAAAAACGTGAACAAACAAGGTTTCTTTTATTTTTTTTTAGGGGGGAGACTCACTCAGGCAGCTGGCAAAACAGTTGCAACACATGAAAATTGCCAGGACACGCAATGACACACGAAGGAGGATCGGGTTAGAAAAAACAAAATTAAAAATGAAACAGAGAAGAAACCACAATTTTGGCAAATTAACACCAGAACCGCAAACTGCAGCTTATTTTTTAGGATGGATATATGGTTGGTTGGTTATGGTTTCTGTTGTTGTTCGTTTTTTGTGTTGAGTTGAGTTCTTGGACTCCCTAATGCCTAAGCACGTTCATGTTCCGTGTGCGTCACTAAACACCTGAGACACACCCCCCCAAAAAAAAAAGATAGACATTTTTAGGGACGAAACCCATAATTTTGTATTTTGTGCAAAACGCAAGAGGATCACGCCCCATTCCTATAGGATCGTTGGCTTTCTTCTTTGGGGATCATTTTTATATAATATATGTTCTTCAACCTTGTTTCTTTATCTTTTTTTTGAGTGATTGTGTGTTACGCGTGGCGTTAAAACGATGTTGACTCCCTATCCTCACTCAGGTGAAGAGAAAAACAGGTGGCTAACAGACCCGAGAACATGGCAAAAATTATAAATCAATAAAGAGATAAAGAAGCTAAGGATATTGATGGGTGAATGGAAATGATTCCTGGACATGGAATATTGTATTTATACTAAATTATATTATACTATTTAATATAGATTATAAAATTAAAACAGGCTTGTTTAAATAACACCTCATAAATGTTATTTAATGTACCATATTTCATAGAATGCTATAAAACATATTTCAAAATTGATCAAATCTCAGATTTGATTTATTGAATACATTCAAATGATTTTCAAATATTTATAGTTTAATTTTTCACAAATCATTAAAATAACAATCTTTATTTAATGTGCAAAACAATATATTTATATAATCCTAACAACTGATACTGTGAATGATCTTCAAATGTTCATTGAAGACTGTTTTTTTTCTAGATTTAATCAATGACAGCTACTTGACAGCATTTAGTTTCTAAACCCAATCACTTCCCACATTTTTCATTCACTAAATTATTTCTTTATAATCTCTTAAAGAAACCAAGTTCATCTTGGGGTCATCTTTGAAAGTTTTACATTTTTTCTAAAGGATAGTGTTGCTTGGGAAGTTGGGAACAGTTTTTGGTAGCTTTTTTTGAATGATTTTTTTTGGGTGGTTCTTTTTATATACTCACTCATAAATGGCATCCTTATCACGTTTATGTACTTCGGGTATTGCGCCCATTAGGTGATTACCGACCGGCGATACATGACTAGGTGTACCATGACCCCCGGCACCCGAATGGTAGCCGTGCATGCCCACTGTGGCCGCCGCGGCAGCCGCGTGCGTCATATGCGGAGAGTGGTGAGAGGGGAGGCCTTGGAGTCCGGGCGGTCGGTGTCCGGCATGTGGATCATACATGGCCGCTGCAGCGGCACCGGAATCCATGCCGTAGCCATGTAGGCCATCGTCATACTATAGAGTTTAGGAAAGCAGAAGAAATTATTAAGATTAGTTATAAAGTTTATAATTTTATGCATATTTTTGAAAAGGTTAAAGATTCCTCAGAGTGTTGTTATCATTTTTAAATATTTAAATTAATATTTATAAACTTTAACTGCCTTATAAGTTACATAATTAAATTCTCCTTTTAAAACACACATATTTAAATACCTTTTTCTGCTCTAAACAACTTACTGATAGTGTTGTTATCTTATTTAAAGTATATAACAAACCTCTAGAGCACCTTAATAATTTCTCTAACTGCAATTAGCAGTCTACATAAAATCTTCACATATTTAAATACATTTTTCTAAATTAAAATCCAGCAAAAAAAAGAAAAGAACATGCTAATAAACCAAATTAAAAAAAATCTAAATAACAACAAAACACAACGAACCTCAACACAACTGTCGACCTTGTGATTACTTTGCTGCCGCCGCCGCTTCGACATTATATGGATATAACCCATACATACACCTTAAAAATATCTATACGTTTTCGTTTACCTTCTTCCAACGTTTTTTGCATATTAATTAATGCGCCAAAAGCAGCAGACGATTTTGAATATTATCAGTTAATCTGTCCAAAAGTATCTTGAGTGCGATGTGTGTGTGTATTTTTTGTTCTCTATCTTTCGGGCCAAAAACAAAAACAAAAAAAAAAACTGTTGTACAACAGTTAAGTATTTTTTAAAAAGCCAAGCAATTGGCAAAAACGGGTTTGTGTGCAATAACAACAATAATTACAAATATAATATTAATAATAATAAGAATAACAGCGAAAAGATAGTACATCTTTTGTATTCTTCAAATTAGTAAAAGTTCAATTGAAACAGAGAGATAAAGTTGTTTTTTAGCTTCTTAAAACTCTTTCTTTACCCCTCTTATATCACTTTTTTGAACTAATTTTTCCAGTGTATCTTTTGTGTGAGATTTTTATCATTTTGTACTCAAGTGGCGTCCGTCTTTTGCTGAAGATACACTTCTCGTTGCTTCTTCTTCGTTTCACACTGCATAATTTTAAGGGGAACATTGAAGACAGAAAAGTTGACAAAAAGATTTTTGTGCAGCGACAAGAAATGATGGGAGGATGTCTCCTGTGCCCCCCCCTCTGTATCGCAGTATCTCTGTATCTCAGTATCTCCCGCCCTTCCTGGTCTCCCTCATCAAGTTGAGGTTGATTTTTTATCAGCCTGGAAAAATCTTTGACACTAAATAAGCAATTGACTTGCCGTTGAGAGTTGACGGAGCAAAAGCAAAACGAGTTGAAGTGCCAAAGGGAGGGGGGAAGAGAGGCTGAGATTCTTAGCGAAAATGTCAAGGATTTGCACCTGGTAAAAAAGGAGACATATAATATCTGGCAGATACAGTAGCCGCATCTGCAGTATCTAGACTTTGGGAGAAATAGTGCAGCGAAGGCAGCTGCTGCCACTTGCAGGTGGAAGTATCTACAATTGTCAACCTTTGAGGTTTGCTGAAAGAGGCAATCCTTGAGATACACAACCAGAGATTAGTTTTAGCTGAGCGTCGTCTGTCGTGCTGTGCCTCCGTTTTGGCGTCGTTTCTGTTGCTGTTGCTGTTTGCACATGCACAAGATACAAACTTATAGATACTGCGACTTGTCCGGGTTAGTCAGTTTGCTTTTGGCCAGGTTTTTTGTTGTTGTTTCGGTTTTCGGTTCGCTTGGGCTCGGTTCATGGCTGTTAAACTATAAAGTTGTTATGCTAATTTTAGTGTTGGTGGTGGCAGCGGCAACCAAACGAACGTTGTCTTAGCCTTTTTTTTTTTGCTTCTCTTCGATTTCTTAGTCGGTTCAGTTTTAGAAATGAGGAAATTGTGGAGCAAAAGCCGTGTGCCAACAAAGAGATCTTGAAAATTACCACAATTTGTACTTGTACATAAGTAATGTGGGAATTTGAGAGACTTTTCAATACAGCACAGAAGACGACACACAGACAAAACAGGCAAATACACTTTGGGTTTTGGGCCAACTTTGATTGATGATCAGGGCTCTAGAGACGAGACTTGGCTCTCTTTCCCCCTCTTTTTGATGTTGTTGTTTAGTGACCAAGCCAAGCCATTGACCTTGTTGAATGAGGGAAAAGCTTTCTGGCTGACGGGGATCAATAGCAGAGAACCAACCACCAAAAGCATGGTCCTGATTTTGACAAGTTCAGCGTCGAAAATCCTTCAAAAATTTATGACAATCGCGCTGTGGGTGGTGTGTGTGGGTGGTGTGTGTGTGGTGTGTGTGTGGTGCTCAAAAACTGTCAGTGACAGGCGCTGAAGGAGCTACGATTTTCTGCCTTTTTTCTGTATTTTCTGTATTTTTGGAGCAGCAGGGAGAGAAGTTGCGTTTTCCAGCTCTTGTCCTAGTTGCTGTCTGTCTCTGTGTGTGTGTTTTGTGTGTGTCCTGTGCCCCATGAGTGTGTGTGTGTTTTTGTCGTGTTTCGGCGACATTAAGTCATTGCTAAAAGCCAGTCAGCCAGCCTACTACAACTACTGCCAACTTTAGCCAACAACAACTCAATTGTACTTGGGTTTTTTTTCTCTTTAAGGCACAACTTTAAGTGCTTATAAATAGGGAAAGAAATATGTAGATTTTAGGCTTTAAGTTGGTTTGCAAGTAAAAGGATATATGGGGGAAATAGAGGCTTTAACTAAGGCTAAATGTGTGTGCCTTACATTTTGTTTTATTAACCTTAAGTTGTAAGACTTATACCTCTTATAAAACGATTTTTATTGGATTTATTCCAAGTTCAGATGAAACGTTTAATAGTTCAAACTTGTATGTATGAAAACCTGAGGTTTTATAAGACTTTTAATATTTATCTGAACATTTTCTAAGGGTTCCTTTTATCAAAAACATATTTCTTTGGTATTTGGATTTTATAAATTAGGAAATTCCTATACAATCTTATTACTCAGACCTTAAATCTTGGTTAAATGCTTTTAAACTGAACCTTAATCTTAATTTCTCACTCTTAAATGCTGGTTTAATTTACTAAAACCCCTCTACAGGTAAATGGCATATAGGAAACAAAGGCTTTAAGTTAAGAGACACCCCCAAAAAAGGTGCTTGGGTGCAGTAACGAAAATTCTGCGTGAACTTGAAACTGAAAATGTTGCACAATCCAAAAGCCAGGAAATGGGCTGCAACAGCAAGGACATTTATGGAGGGGGGCTTAAAATGGGCGGGAGAGAGTGGGTTGTGGGTGTAAAAGTGGGTGTGAGTGTGGGGTGTGTGGGCTTTATCTGGCGGCGCCTAAAACTGACCAAAAACCAGACGCCAGCGTCAGAAGAGTTATGAATGTGAGTGCAAAAATGCAGTCAGACCGTAAAGCGAGAGGGAGATACTACATATACACACGAGTGTGTGTGTGTGTGCTTTTGGCCAAAAATGGTGACAATGGCCGCCATTTATACATAGTCAGCCACCCTGCACCACCCACTCCCTGGCCCACATAGAGGCCTCAATATGTTTGGTTGTACAACCCGACTTTGTTTATCGATTTCCTGCCCTCCTCAAACACTTTTGCTTTTTATTATTATTACTATTCTTTTATTTTCATAACCTCCCCAAAAAGATACAAAAAGGAAACCTTCTTAATTGCGCTGGCGCGGTCGAAGGCCTAATCAAAATTAATTGTTTATCATGTTGTATTTGAATTTCTTTCTTTCAATTTCTTCTCCTCTATACGTATATATATATATTGTATATCTTTTATATATTTCTCTATAATTCTTTCCCCTTTTTCAAGTTGTTTTTGGCTTTGGCTTAATTAGCAGACAAGCCGCAGTTGTAGGTGTGTCCCTTCGAACCAAAGTCACGCCCAGCTTTTTTCCTCTTTTTTCGTGGATTCCTCATAAGTTTTTTTTTCTATTTTTTATTTGGTGTTAGACAATTAATTTTTGTTGCGTGCCTTGGTGTTATTTTAATTTACAGTTGCAACAACAACTTTAACTTTTATTGCTTCTAATAACAATATTATCGAGCAGGCAAACATCAAACGTCAAAAACGTGCGCTGTTTTTTTTTTTTTTCTTCTCTATTTAATTTATGTCTAAAAACAAATACTTAAAACAAGCAAAAGGAAGAAACAGCAAAAATATGTATGCATAAATTTTTAAAGCTGAAAAATTAGATGATGCTCGGTAGCCAAATTAAAAGCGACCAAAAGGCAACGAAACAAAAAAATAATAATAATAACGAAATCTAAATGAATTCTTTGGCGTTTTAACATTTATCAAAAATCAACAACAAATGACGTCAGGCTGTGGCATTTATTAAATTAAAATGAGACCCAAACAAAAACCAAAAATAAAACCTGGCAGATGATTAACAAAAAATCAACAGAGCAGCGCAGCAACAACAACAAGAAATATTTGTCCAAAAAGGTAAATTCAAAAATACGAGCAACAAAAATTTAGCAAAAAAATCAAAATAAATCGAATGAGAAATATATATTTTTAAATGATTTCTGGGAATTTAAAAGAGCACATACAAAGGCGAAGACAATTTAATGTTCGAAATTTTAAGGAAAATAATTTGAAAGTGTTTGAAAATTAAAAGAAATCATTCTAAAGTGTTTGAAAAGAAAAATGTTGGAAAATTGAAGGAACAGCATATGAAAGTCAGAAATATAAACTTCACAGTATTTTAAATTTAAGTATTTCTATGACAAAGTACAACTAACTCTTAAATAGTATAAAAATAAGAAAATTCATCAAATAAACTCTTTTCAAGTCTTAAACCTCTTCAAAAGCTACAACAAAAATTCCTCGCTTTCTCGACTATTTAATTAAATTGCTCTAAGAGGACCTCTTGCCAAACAACGCCAACTTTCCCAACACCAAAAAAAAAAGGAAAAGTAACAAATTCCAAAAAAGCGGAAAGAAACAAAAGTCTTTTTGGGAGTTTGGCAGAAAAAAAAAGTTACTCAAAAATACGAAAATAAATTGCGTGCTGATGGCTCATTTAATTTAATGAGCGGCGTGCAACTTGTCTAAATGATTTTTCCTCTACTTTACAACAAACACACACCAAAAATTGTTGTTATTTTTCCCCACTTTTGCTTGGCTTTTTGCTATTTTTTGGAGGCAGAAAGATCTCTTCAGGGGGTTCTTGGCCAGAAACAGTAAAACCTATTTTATATTGAAGAATATTAGCAAATCAATTTGATTTAAAGTTGGGGAAATTACCAAGTAAATTATTTTTAAAGAAAAAAGCAAGAAAATGTACTTGATTTAGGCGTAAATGTAAAAAGAAATGAAACTAATGAAAACACTTTCAACGGCAGCAGCGGCGACCTCATCAAACTTGGCAACTATGTGTTGTATGGCAAAAAAAAAAGATACAACAACAAATGTAAGAGAAAAAATAATAATAATACTACTACAACAACAACTATAGCACCAACAGGCACCGCCGTTCGACCCAAGGAATCAGGCACGCAATTTGATCATTAAACATGAAGCTCTTTAGCACACGGAAAACAACATTTGGAAGAGTTTTTGGATGTGGAGCCTCATGTTGGATATAGGCCCCATATAGAGTCTCCCGCCTCAATTTCCCTCTTTTTGCAAAAATATGCATATGTAATTTGTTTATAAATATTCCTCTCAGCCTGCTTCTGCTGCTGCTGCTGGCATGTGAAGTGTCTGCAGAGGGAATTCTCAAACCCAAAACCTGAGATATATATCTGATATATTCCTCCAAGATAAGAGAAGGCGAGAAAGAGGAGAAACTCTCTTTACTGGGAGCCGTGACTCATAGAGGGAAAGAAGCTGGAGAAGATTGCTCACTTAATTAGAGAAGAATTCGCAGTGAAGGTTAAGAGGCGCGAAAAGAAATGAGATTGAAATGCTAAAGAAATGATAAGGAAAATGGCAGAAAAACTTGATATATTTTAATAAAACAAGGTTGGGAGAATGAAGTAAGATATATTCCAAGGTTAGAGGCTTAGTATTAATAATATTTGATATTAAAAATATTACTATCTAAACAACATCACATTTTATAATCTCCCAGTAAATTTTAGCATCTCATTCAACTAAATATTCCTTTAAAATGTAATTTCCTTTTCGTTATTATATTTCCTCTAGCAAATCTCAATGTTTCCATTAACTTTTCGTTACGTTTTCAGCCACTAAAAGTAAACCACAATATCATCAACTGTGTGGGGTTTATTTTCCTTGATCTTTTCTATTTCGAATTTACTATTTCTGAAAGCAAACAATGCAGCAACAAAGAAATAAAGAGAGAACTAAACTGAACACACACGATAGACGAATTATATATTTTATGCCACCAATTACAGTGCGGTTAACCTTTAAATTAAAATAACACCAAAACAATTTTTGTGCTGCACAGAGAGAGAGAGAGGAAAATGTAGGGAGGAAAATGAGGAAAAACTGCAGCAGCTGCACATTGCACATTTTTATACAAATTGCAATTGCAATTGCATACATTTTTCCCCCCCTGCAGATTCTCTACTCCTCTGTTCTCTGGCCTCTCTTTTCGCTCTGGCATAAAATAATCAAATTAAATATATATAAAAAAGTGCTAAAATTGCTTCCCGCCATTTTTACCAGAGAAAGAGAGAGGGAGAGAAAGTGCGGGAGAGAGATAAAAAATAAAAATTGTAAATAATAAAACCGCGGAAAACACAGTGTGTGCAATAAAATTATATGCATCAAATGCACACAGAAAACAGGGTCCGTTCAGCCCGCATATATATCTCGGAAAAATTCATTTGATGGAATTGAAATGGCGCAAATTCGGGTAAAAGAGCCGCAGGAGAATTACATGGGTTAACACGGACACACACACATACGGGGCTATAGGGGGTTAAGAGCTGGAGAATTGTGTATTAAACCACAGGCGTAAATTTATTCGCACACACATAAAAATCACCACTGAAAATTCCCGCGGGCATTTCACATTTTACGTTTTTCATTTCCCATTTTTGGTTTTATTTTTTTCTTCTTGTACACACACACACACACACTCAGTGAAATACCTGCGCTAATTGGTAAAGCAAACTACAGCTGTATATCTATACATTTCAAGTTAATAAAAAATCAAGTTCACTTCGCATGTCCCCGATAATCATTGATTGATAAAGTCTAACTGCGATTTGGTAATAATATTTAAGAGAGAAGGCGGAGTTAACCAGAGTCACCTGATTAGCATATAATTTATGATCCCCCGATGGATTGTAAAAATTATTATTACTCTCCCTTTAAGCTAAGGCGAGAATTTATGCCACATAAAAGTGATGGACTCCAACAGGGCAGAGTGCTCTGTTTTGAAAGTCATTAACTTTTTTTTTCTATAGGAAATCTATAACAATTTTATATGTTTTCAGAAAAAATAAATGTACCAAGAGCTGCAGTTTATTAATGATGTAATCTTTGTTTCAAAGTAATTTCTTAACACAATATTAAGATTATTATGTTAAGACCTATTCAACAAAATTATTTAAATTGTGTGATAAGTATTCCAAGAATTGTGATTTACTAGCAACACGTCATTTATTTTATTATTAATCAATATTAAGACATTTCTAAAGTTTACTTTAACTAAGTATTGATTCTTTAAATGTCACAAGGTCTTAACAACAAAACACTTTTAATTATATTCTATAATAAATATTTCTCATTCTTTATTTGTATGTTGGTTTCTGCTAAAAACAAAATTCCTTAAAATGTGATTCACTTTATCAAACATTCTCGTACAACACCCTGAATTTTGGATGCCTACAGATTCAGTTAATTACATAAATTTGTACAAGAAAATGACCCGCATAAATCAAATGTTTCTTTCTTTCTACTCCACTATATATATACACACACAACATAACACACACTCGATCTGGATCGTTTGGTTAAATTTCTCAGCTCGATAGGGCTCTATTAATAAATGGGGAACTGTGTGTATATATATATATTCCCCATTGAATTGATTAAAATGGGGAATATTAGGGAAGGTTTTTATTTAGGCAGCCCAAGAAGCTATTTAGTAACTTGCAGTTTAAGAAAAAGTCGTGTGTAGATATAGATTTATAAAGAAATTGTCTGGGGAAATGTCTTCTACTAGATATAAGAAATACTGTATTCTTTATTAAATTTTAATAATAATATATAAATTAGAGATTAAAAAAGACTACGAGTATTTGTACACTTTTGTTGAAGGTTCTGGTTTTATAATAGTTTCTTGTTTATAATGTAATATCTATAAACAAGCTTATGTTTATAATCATATACGAAATGTATATAAGGAAACTGTTCACTAAGAACATGAAACCCAATAGTAAATTTCAAAGAAAACTTATACAAATTCCTCAATAACAACTCCCCAATAACATACAAGGTTTTTATTTGACGCTTAACTAATAAAAATCATATTATTCTAAACTATATCCTTTATAAATCCCCTAACCCTGTGCCGTCGGCTTTTGTAACCTCTTCAAAACACCTAAAAATTCGCCTCTAAGGACCCTTATATTTTGCCGTCGCTACTTGGTTCCTATGATAACAACACTCTTTGAAGGAACCTTTACTATATATGTAGTTCTTCGATCTATAAAGATTTTTTTGGGGGTTTTAGTACTTACCCTTGGCTGAGCCATTAATGCTCTGGGAGCGACGTCTAACCCGATTTGTGCCACTTTTGGAGTAGAACCAACAAATTGGGGTCGCAACACACAAATCGACGTCCCGCTCCGACGCTTCTTCTACCTTCTGAACTTCGTCCTGCGACGCTGATGCTTTTAGGGACGCTCTACTGTACTTCTTGGATTGATTTCCAGTTCTTTTTGTGGAATATTTGTTTGCTGTTTTACTGGTTGTATTATTTGTTTGCTTGGATTTTTTTATGTATTTGCACTTTTACATCTAATTTTTTGGGGAAGCTTTCTTGCTTCTTTTTTTATTATTATTTCACAGGCACATTTGTTTAGATTTTATGTATTATTATTACGTTTTTGTTGTTGTTGTATACTTGTTGTTGTTACGCGCGCGTTTTGTTGTAGGAGATCTGTTTTTTTGCTTAATGTTTCCTTTTCTTTTTTTGTGTTATAATATTTTATTTACATATAATTTGTGTGTGTTTGGTTTTTGTTTTTTGTTTTTTATATAAAAATCGTATACAATTTGTTGTTAGTTGCCGTAGTTATAGTTGTTGTTGTTCTTGGTATACTCATGTATTGTTGTTGTTGCAACATAGTTTTTTGTTGTTGATTGTTGTTGTTGTTGTCATAAATCCATGGCTCTTTGTCTTCTCGAGTTTTTCTCTAGTTTTCCTTGCCGTTTTCCATTTGATTTCCTTGGGTTTTCCTTCTAGTAGTTGTAGTTGTTGTTGTTGTGGTTGCTTGTTGGTTTTTTTATATTTTTCGTATACTCTTTTTCCGTTGTTGTTTATATTTTGTTAATTCTCGTATAATATGCGCACTATTTATCACAGCTGCTTCTACATACTACGTTACTAGAGTTAAACAAATGAAATTGTTTCTTAGCAAATATTATAATTTTTGTTTGCTGCTTTGCGACGGCAAAAGTTTTGGATGTTTAGAGAGAGAAATTGGAGATATATTTTTGCGGGGGGATCGGCGGGATCCCCTCGTCTAAGTAACTGCCCCAAAACAGAAAATATTGAGTAGTTTTTTGTTGCTATTTTCTTAGTTTCCAAATTTTTGAATTCAAAACTGTTTTCTTTTTTTGGGTTTTTTCTTCGCGTAAACACTTAAAGAACGTAATGCATCACGTAATGCTAAAGCTAGGCTGTACGACCGGGGGAAAAAAAAAGCGCGATTTCCAGGCGTAGCTTTTCGGTTGTGTGTGTGTGTTTTTATTTATTTTATAACGGCAATAATAATAATAATAATAAACTTCACCGACGGCAACAAACGACGACGACAACGACGACGACGACTACGCTCCGTTTTCTTTTATTTCCTTCATTCGCTTACGACGAAAACGGTGAACACGCAGAGAACGCAGAACGCAACACAGAGACACGTCGTATCACGTTGGCAGCGAAAAATACACTGTGCGGATACGCGATACACTGTGTGTCAATCATTCGCCGCCGCCGCCACTGCCACTGCCACTGCCGCTGCCGCTCGCTCTCTCTCTCACGCGGTCGGCTTTGCTCTCGCGCTCTCCCCCTCACACACGCTCACATGCAACAATTGTGCCATTAAGCGTGTTCGGGCCATAACTCAGACGGGGTGCGAGCGAGACGAATATATTGTGCGTTTGTTTATTGCGCAGACTCCGGCGAATTGCCCGCTTCGAGGTATTTTGCGGCGAGAGAGCGCAGGCGCTCTCATCCTTGGCGATGACTGATTTGTTGGTACGCCTCTCTGTCATGCACACACTTGTCACAGTCATACAGCCAGCACGCACACATACAGACACACAAGTACACCCACCCACCCCACCTCTCTTACTCACCGCTCGCTGCCGGCGTCGACTGCGCTCTTTTTGCGCAACGTAGCGTTTCGCCGCGCGTTTGAAATTTATTTGGCTTTGGCCAAAAGGAGACGGCTTATAGGTTTTTGGCCACTGCCGGCGTCGCTGCCATCGGGCCCGGGCGTCGCAATGCGTGGCGTTGAAAATCAGCAAAAACCAATCCCATTTGTTATTTTTCGCTTGAGTGGCAGTTGGCAGTTGCTCTTGCCATTCTCCAGCTTCAGCTCTCTTTTTGGGGCTTTCGCCGCACCTTTACAGGTTGCGTTGCGTTGCGTGGAGAGTGGAGAGAGTGAAGAAAGGGGGGCGGGAGGCGGCGGAATGCAAGAAATACGGTTCCTTCGCCGTAGCTCTGCTTTTGAGCGCTTTTCACTTGTCCATCAGCTTTCGCTCAACATATTCGCCTTGCTTTTTCGCTCACACACACACACACAGAGCCACTCTCCTTCACACACACACACACACACACAGAGGGAAATAAATAGGCAACGCCTTCGAAGAAAAGCAACTAAAAAAAAGGGGGGGAGTGTAAAAGAGAAGAAAACTCTGGCAGCTTTGTTGTTTTTTTTTTCTGGTTTGCCATAACGGTGATCTGGCCACTTTGCAGGACATGATCCTGCCTGCCAACAATAACAAAAGCTTGAAAACAGCTGTTTGTCGGAGTAGTAACCCGAAGGAGTAACCCTCCTCTCTCACTCACTCTTTCCTTCTGTCTCGCTCCTGTTGGCACGGCAATAACAAATAGCGCGACGATAAATTGCCGAAAAAAAACAGAAACATTCAACGAAAATTGCATATCCTGCAGGTCACTCGTCGTCGCTCCTGTCCGGCCCTGTCCCGTTTTATCCTGCTCAGTTTTGTTCTGTTCCGTTACGTTCTGTCTGCTTTTCGGTGGCTCAGTTTTTTATTATTTTCAAGATTTTTTAAATGCTCTTACTAGTTGGGAATTGTAAATAATTGATAATTGTTGTACGTTAATAAGAAACCTCTAAAAGCATTAAAATTTTTATTCTTTCATTTGAAACACATAAAATACGGATACTTAGTTTCCTTATAAATGTGAGTAAACTAAAACACATTTTAAAATAAAACAATATAAGGGAAACAGATATCTTTAATGTTAAAATTTCTTGTGCTAATTAAATTTAATAACTGGTTTTAAGCTTTAGGAACAGTTTTTAATGTTTTAAAATGGTTTTAAGTCTTTAAAAACTGTTGTCAACGTTTAAAAAGTGGATTTAATCTTAAAATCATAATTAATTAAATTTAATAATATTAAAATGGTAATGAAATCCCATTGGAATATGGAATACATAAAAAAGACATCAAATCAATATCCCTTTTAAATTATTTTTACAAAAAACGTTTATAGAACCTCAGATATTTCTTAACATCATCATAATTCAAATAATTCTTTGCTTTTAAATATTTCAATAATCCTTTAAACCCCTTTAATTAATCGAATCTCCTTTTTTAGAGTATTCAAAGTTTTCGGTTTTTGCAAATATTATTTCCCTCCCCTCCCCCCCAACGTATTGTTGCTATTATTGTTGCTGCTGTCGTGTCGTCGTCCTCGTGGCAGTTTAAAAAGCAGTTAACACATATTCCCAGGCAATTTTTCACCAGCGTATTTTTGGCTTGGCGCTGCAGTTGGCCATTACGCCCGAAAGAGATGGCAGCCGAAGGAGATAGAGCGAGATGGAAAGAATGAAAGCTTGGCGGCCGCCGCCGCCGTTTTTAGGAAAATGAAAAATAGCCTTGTTTGTTTTCCGGAGCGCGCGAGCGCTCGCCAAAAAGGATTTCCCGTGTCTGTTTTCCCCTGGTCAAAAAGATGATGTTGCACTTAATCTGGTTGCCATTTCATCTCCTGCAAAGATATCTTGGGCTTGGGAAGGGGGATATGGAATCGGATCAGGCGGACATATACATACATATGTATATAGAGGAGGTCTGTGTCCTGTCAGCACTCTGACAAATTTATGAGACTTTGATTGATTTGCGGTTGTCGCCTTTTTACGCCCGATTCTCTTGTGTCTCTTGTGCGGCTTCTTTTGGGGGCCAGCAAGAAATCAAGTGTAATTTATTTATTTATGTTCGCAGCGAAAGTCAAATGAAATCGAATCAATTAAATGCAATAAATTAGCGGACTTTTAGTGTGGGAACTAATTTGGTGTTTCGCATCGATCGATCGATCTATTCAAAAAAATTTAAAAGTTCAAGGTTGATTCAACGAATAGGATTTAAAATAAAGACTTTTCATTAAATAAATATTTAATGGGAACTTGGTCTTTTTTGTCTGAAAAATTGATAATAAAAGTGAACTTAAAATAAAGAAATGTATCATAGAATATAAATTTTTTAGAACAGAAAATGGGATCTATTTGATGAATACTAAGAAACATACAAATTTATCGATAACCTTGCATAGAAAATCGAATTATAAATCGATTATTGTGCAAGACATTTGCTTAAATTATAAATAATTTTCCCCTTCTAATTCAAAAACTAATTTTTTCCAATTTTAACTACGAAAATTAAGTTTCCTATTTGATTTAATTAATTTATTTTTTAAAATTAAAATACAAATATAATTAATGCACCAAAAATTAAAATTAAATAAAAATTTTACCTCAAAAAAGCACCAGAAAAATAGAAAAACCTTGGACAAAGCCTGAGAAAAATAAAAGGAAAACCCTCTCAAAAATTCGCCTGCACCTCCAAGTCAAGCTGGAATTTAATTTAATATTTAGAACTTTTGCGAAATTGAAGGGACCATGAAATTTAAATCACCAAAATAACAAAAAAAAAAACGAAAAGAGGAAAATAATCAAAAGGCGAGCAGAAGAGGCGGCAAAGGGAGGCGGAAAACCCCACCCACTGAGTGAAAAAAAAAAAAACAACAAGCAAGGCAAAGGAATCGACTCGGGAAAACCTCAAGGAAAATTGCATTTGGAAACTTCCAATCCCAGACGAGCGAGCGAGAGAGGGCCCCCGAGTGGAGTGAAGTGGAGAGTGAAGAGTGAGCAAAGAGAGGGAGGTGGAGGGAGGGGAGCAAAGCTCAGGACGGGCTCTCACTCACACCAATTGGGGGGCAGCCAATATGATTTAAACACTCACACACACACACACACACATAGAGTGGCAGAGACGTCGACAGAGGGGAGCCCTGCGTTGTGTGCATGACAATTCATCTCTTTCTTATAAACGCAATTTATCAAATGGCAAACGACGAGCGAGCGACAGCAAAAGATGAAGACGACGACACGATATCAACTTGATGTGGCGCCATCTCCCTCGCTCGCTCGCGCTCACATCGCTATCGCCTGCTCGCTCGCACACCGCTCAAGCAAAAAAAAAAAAAACAAACCAAGGCAACAACAACAAATTCAGCAACACAGCAAAGAACGGACTAAAAAAAATGGCACATGAAGAAAAATAGGAGTTGCCGTCGGGGCTCTGCTTCTTCTTCTTCGTCGTCGTCGTCGCAGCAACAGCAACAACAACAACAACAACACAACAAAGTGACTGAAACCGCCATAATCTTGACAGACAAGTGCACTCTCTCAACACACGCACACATGCACTCACACACACACAGACGCCCAGAGAGTGACTCTC